TTTTCTGAGTAACTGCCATGTTGATTTCCAAAATGTCTGCACAAGCATACTCTCCTACCAACAGTAGAATAATGTTCCCCTTCTTCCACATCCTCTATAGCTTAATCTGTCATCAGTGTTTTTGATCTTAGGTACTCTAACAGGAGCAAGATGGAATCTCAGAGTTGTTTTGATTTACATTTCCGCAATGGCTAAGGATATGGAACATTTTCTTAACGTTTTTTTTCTGTCATTTGATATTTTTATGTTGAGATTCTCATTTAGGTCTGTACCCTATTTTTTAGTTGGAATATTTGTCTTTTTTATGTCTAGTTTTTGGAGTTATTTATATATTTTGTAGATCAGCCCTCTGATAAGTTGGTGAAGAGCTTTCCTTAGTCCAAAAGCTGCTGTTTTGTCTTATTGATAGTGTCCTTTGCCTTACAGATGCTTTTCAGTTTCATAAGATTCCATTGTTTGTAAGAAAAAACAGAAATTACTGAATATTAACCATTTTATTTTTCCAAGAATGTACAAAAATGTAACTGCAACCAGCACAGTTGAGACTACCATGCTTTACAGGAAGTGTTCAACTAATGTTGTATGCAATGTATGAAATTTCTGTGAAAAAAATTATATAAAATTTAATCATGTTTCCTTTCTTTCTTTATAAACCTTGTTTCTTGTATTTGAGCTCATTTTCATACACTAGTATCTTTAAAGGACAACTTTGATTTAACACTTAAAATTGATACTTTTGATTCAGCCCTTTTAGTTGCTGAAAATCTGTGCATACAGTTCGTTATATATACAAATACAAATAAATGTTAAATAATATTGAATTATTTTGTTTCCTGCTTACTCAATTATATGGAATATATTTTCAACATGATTTTGTCATTAATGCATTGTTCTGTACAAACCAGGGGAAGTAGGTATTGTATATAATGTTAAAAATAAGCAATTCCTACTTCCTTTCCAGACCTTATTCCATATTAAATTAGTAATCTTATTTTAGATTTTTCCTCTAGAGGTGATTTTATGTTTTAATTATTATTTTACATGTTAAGCAATTAAAGCATTTCTATTAGGTGTAAAATTTTAAAATCTTTTATTATCAGGGTTAAGAACTTAAAATGTGCCAACTCTCTAGCCCCTAGGCCCTGGGAGCATATATTCTGCCCCTCCACACACTCATCACAGCCCCAGAGTCTGGGCAGCAGCCTCCTCTCTGCTCTTTCACTAACCATTCCCCCAGGCAAGCCACCATCGATCACCAGAGCTGCACACTCCATCTGCACCAACTGAGAAAAAGAGTACTGATTGGAGGAAGAGGGACTCTCAGAAGAGGAACAGGCTCCACCTGTACAGATTGGAGGAAGAAATGTGTAGATGGCAGTGTAAGGGTATATTCAACAATATAAAGAATAATATGTCACTACCACAAACCAGTGGTTCTACAACAGCAAGACTTGAACATCCCAAAGCAGATGAACCAGAAGAAAACAATCTTAAAAATAACTTTATGAAGATGACAGAAGAGATAGAAGGTAAAGAGGAAATAAAAAATTTCCTTAAAAATGGATGAAAAGACAAACAAACAAAAAAAATAACTGGAAGAAATCAGTAAATCCCTTAAAGAAATCCAAGAAACCCAAGAAAAAAACAATCAAACCAGTGAAGAAAAACTTTCAAGACTTGAAAGCTGAAACAGAGGCAATAAAGACAAATTGAGGGAATACTGAAAAGGGAAAATCTCAGTAAATGAACAGGAACTACAGAAGCAAGCATAACCATCAGAATACAAGAGATGGAGGAGAGAATCTCAGGCATTGAGGATATGATTCAGGAAATAGACTCATTGGTCACAGAAAATGTTAAATCCAGCAAATTTTTAACACAAAACATCCAGGAAATCTGGGACACCATGAAAAGGCCAAACCTAAGAATAATGGGGATAGAAGAAGGAGAAAAATTCCAGCTCACAGGCACAGAAAATATATTCAACAAAATCGTAGAAAAATTTCCCAAACTAAAGAAAGACAAGCCTATAAAAAGGTACAAGAAACTTACAGAACACCAAATAGACTAGACCAAAACAAAACAAATAAACAAACAAAAAATGAGTTCCCTCATCACATAATAATTAAAACACTAAACATACAGAATAAAGCAGAATATTAAGAGCACCAAAAGAAAAAAGGCCAAGTAGCACATAAAGGTAGACCTATAAGAATTATATACCAGGCTTTGCTTTCCCCCCATGGGAGGAGGATAGGATGAGGGGTGGGTTGGGGGGGTAGGTGGCGGTGGTGGGGGCAGGAGGAGGGATAAGAGGGGAATAGGTGGTTGGTATGTAAAATGAATAAAAAAAATTACAACCAACTTCTCAATGGAAACTCTGAAAGCGAGAAGATCCTGGGAAGACATTCTGTAGACACTAAGAGACCACAGATACCAGCCCAGACTACTATACCCAGCAAAGCTCTAAATCACTGTAAATGGAGAAAACAAGATATTCCATGAAATAAAAAAAAAAAAAAAACAGACTTAAACAATACATTTCCACAAATCTAGCCCTACAGAAGCTGCTAAAAGGAAAACTCCAATGCAAGGAAGTTAACTGTACCCACTAAAACAAAGGCACTAGATAACCTCATACCAGTAAATCCCAAGGAAAGGAAACCCACAAACACTACTACTACCACCACCACCAAAACCAAAAATAACAAGAATTAACAATCACTGGACATTACTATCTCTTGATATCAATGGACTCAATTTGCCTATAAAAAGACACATGCTAACAGAATGGGTACAAAAACAGTATCCATACTTCTACTGCATACAAGAAACATACTTCAGCCTAAAAGACAGACATTACCTCAGAGTAAAGGGTTGGGAAAAAAATTTCCAATCAAATGGACCTAAAAAACAAGCTGGTGTAGCTATCCAAATATCTTACAAAATAGACTTCAAACTAAAATTAATCAAAAGAGAAGGAGAAGGACATTTTATACTCTTCAAAGGAAAAAATCCATCAAGATGAAGTCTCAATTCTAAACACTTATGTCTCAAATATAAGGGCACCTACATTTGTAAAAGAAACATTACTATAGCTTGAATCATACATCAAACCCCACACTGTAATAGTGGGATACTTCAACTCCCCACTTTCACCAATGGACAGGTCTGTTGGACAGAAACTTAACAGAGAAATAATGGAACTAGCAGATGCCATGATACAAATGGACTTAACAGACATCTAAAGAACATTTCACCCAAACACAAAAGAATATACCTTCTCAGCAACTCATGGAACCTTCTCCAAAATTGACCACATACTCTGTAGCAAAGCAAGTCTCAACAGATAAAAAAAAATGGAATAACTCCCTGTAGACGAATTTCTAAATGGTCTTATTAAATAAAAAACACAGAGCCAAATATAGGGGTGAAAGCCTTAGAGATCAGGGAAATAGGAATAGCCACTAGCCAACCTTACCTCACCAGCTCTGAAACTTCCTGTCTACCCATGCCTTTTTATGACTTGCTTTTCTGCCCTCTCACTGGCACTTAGCCCAGCTACCTCATTTTCTTATCACTGCCTGTCTGCACATACCTTCAGGTCTCTATGGTTTTAATCTCTATGGGATTAAAGGCGTGTATCACCATGCTTGGCTCTGTTCCCTAGTATGGCCTTGAACACACAGAGACCCTGCCTACTAAGTGATCAGATTAAGGGTGTGTGCTGCCTGACTTTGTTGACTTAAAATGGCTGGCCATTTTCCCTTGAATTCCAGGCAAGCTTTATTTATCAAAGCACAAATAAAATATCACCACAACCCCCTGTATCTTATTGGGCCATCATGGTTTATAGATAGAATTTAATACAATGTAAATTGCTGAAGGCCTACAATTTCAAATCTAAATAATGCTCAACAGAATCACCACAGGGTGAAGGAAGAAATAAACAAATAAATTAAAGACTTCCTAGAATTCAATGAAAATGAATGCACAACACACACAAACTTATGGAATACCATGAAATCAGTACTAAGAGGAAAGTTCGTAGCACTAAGTGCCTATCTAAAGAAAGCGGAGAAAGCTCATACTAGAGACTTAACAGCACACCTGAAAGCTCTAGAGCAAAGAGAAGCAAACTCACTCAAGAGCAGTAGATGACAGGAAATAATCAAATTGAGGGCTGAAATCAATAAAATAGAAACAAAGAGAACACAAGGAATTAATGAAACAAAGAGTTGGTACTTCAAGAAAATCAATAAGATAGACAAACTCTTATTCAAACTAACCAAAAGTCAGAGAGAGAATATACAAATTAACAAAATAAGACATGAAAAGAGGGACATAATAGCAGACATTGAGGAAGTCCAGAGAATCATTAGATCATACTTTGAAAACCTATTCTCCACAAAATTGGAAAATGTAAAAGAAATGGACAAATTTCTGAATAGGTTTCACACACCAAAAGTAAATCAAGATCAAATAAACAATGTAAGTAGACCTATAACCCCTAAGGAAATAGGAATAGTCATCAAAAGTATCTCAATCAAAAAAAAAAAAAAAAAAAAAAAAAAAAAAAAAAAAACAGAGCCAGAAGGTTTCAGCACAGAATTCTACCAGAATTTCAAAGAAGATTTAATACCAATAATTCTCAAATTGTTCCAAACAATAGAACAGAAGGAACATTGCCAAATTCTTTTTACGAGGCTAAAATTACCCTGATACCCAAACCACACAAAGACATAAGTAGGAAAGAGAATTACAGACCAATCTACCTCACGAACATGGATGCAAAAATATTTAATAAAATAACTAGCAAATGGAATTTAAGGGCATGTAAAAAAAATCTTCCACCATGATCAAATAGGCTTCATCCCAAAGATGCAAGGATGGTTCAATATGCAAAAATCTGTCAGTGTAATCCACCATATAAACAAAACTGAAAGAAAAAACAAGTGATCATTTCATTGGATGCTGACTAATTTACTTTACATATATACCTGAGCATCAGCATGTATAGCACGTGCATGTGGGTGCCTGTGAATGCTAGAATAGTCATCCGATCCCCAAGAACTTCAGTTACAGATTGTTGTGAGTCATGAGATGTAGGTGCTGGGAACCAAATGCGGGGTCTCTGCAAGAACAGAAAGAGCTCTTAATCACAACGCCAACTTTTAAGTCACTTTCTGCATTGCACATTTATATTTCTTAACTGATGGCACTTTTTAATTTCACCAGTTTGGATTAAGACCAATGGTAACATAATTTCAGCAGTTTAGAGGAAAAATTCTTAATGCAAATAACATTTTGCTAACTTACCTAGAATTCCTTGATTCTATTGACTATATTCCCATGGTGACTTTTCACTCCCTGTTTAAATCATCATTCATCCATTTTAGTTTTGCTAAATTTTGATACAGATTTTGTTTCTGTAAGTTCTGATTTATTCTTTATTGATTATGTGAATGTTTCTATTATGAAGAATTCTTAACTATTTACTTACAATCGTACTATTTCTTCTTTGGGGAGACTATGATATTCATTTTGCTACACATTTGCTCTTTTACATCATTCCCATTAGAAGTATCATATACAAACTCAAACTATACATAGTCTTAAAAAGGTATTAATACTTTAGTGTCCAATTCTCTTATTACAAATCAGTTTTCTTATTGATAAATATTGAATTCTTTCTCTCTCTCTCTCTCCTTCTCTCTCCATTCTTGGTCTTTAATTTGGAAAGTTGTTTTTACTCAATGTAATTAATTTCTTTCCTTTTTTTTGAGACAGGATTTCTCTGTGTAGCAGCTTTGGCTGTCCTGGAACTCACTTTGTAGACCATGTTGGCCTGGAACTCACAGAGATCCACCTGCCTATGCCTCCCAAGTGATCCGATTAAAGGCATGCACCACCACACCCAGCACTCAATGTTATCAATTTCTTACCTCAATGAATTTTGTTTAATCTTTTCTCCTAGATAGATATTTGGCCAGCCTTCAAAATGAATATAACAAGAAGGAGTGGAACAGTGGTTCAACTGAAACAAAACACAGAAGAAAAGCTCATATGGAAACACCACTTTTAAAGATATTTTTTAAGTAAATAAAAGATAAATATGGTTTTTTTGGAATTTTATCAAAATACTTTCTTTATCAGTTAACTTACATAAAATTTGAATGGCTGATTAGTTGGGAAAATATTTTTTTTTTTGATTTTTCAAGACAGGGTTTCTCTGTGTAGCTTTGCGCCTTTCCTGGAACTAACTCGGTAGCCCAGGCTGGCCTTGAACTCACAGAGATCCACCTGGCTCTGCCTCCTGAGTGCTGGGATTAAAGGCATGAGCCACCACCGCCCGGTGGGAAAATAATTTGAATGTTAATGCTTATTCATAGTCATGTTAAACCTTGGCTTGATTGTAGTCTACAACATAAAAGAAGACAGGTAACTCTAGTCATCTGTATGTGTGGAATATCTGACTGACTACAGAGTAACTCGTTAACGAAACAAAAATCATAATTATTAAAATACACTTATTTATTATTTTAATTGCTTTATATCAAGTTTTATACTATTTTTCCAAGTTGTCATATTTTTCACACTTTCAAATTTAATATTCAGTATTATCCAGTGGCTTTTCTTCATTTGACAAGTATGCAAACTTAGAAAGAGTGGAATAAAAGAACCTACTCATATGCTCTAATTATACTTGTCTGAATGGGTTGGTTCATATTGTTCTCATTTCATTTACTTTCTTGTTTTTGGATATTCTCAATAACTCTGTAACAATCCAGATGAAGAATATAATACAGGATTGCTGTGGGATGGTCTGTATGTCAAATGTGTTGCTCTGATTGGTCAATAAATAAAAGACTGATTGGCCAATGGCCAGGCAGGAAGTATAGGCGGGACTAACAGAGAGGAGAATTGAGAGAACAGGAAGGCGGGAAGAGACACTGTGATGCTGCTGCCATGGCCATGACAAGCATCATGAGAAGATGCTGGTGAGCCACAAGCCACGTGGCAAGGTATAGACTTATAGAAATGGATTAATTTAAGATATAAGAACAGTTAACAAGAAGCCTGAGCCATTAGGCCAAACAGTTTAAATAATATAAGCATCTGTGTGTTTATTTTATAAGTGAGCTATCAGACTGCCGGGGCTTGGCAGAACCCGGAGAGAAAACTCTCCAGTTACATAGGATGAATGATTTATTTTCTAAAAAGACAGTGTCAAAGATTTATTGTCAGCCATACACAAAGATACCTAATTTTCTAAATGCCTACAATACAGTAAGAACTTTATCATCCATCTGGCTATAATAATGATACTAAAAAGATCACAAAGAATTTCTTAAGAATACCTTCCTGACAGTGTAAAGTTCTAGCTAGTTTTCTCAGCAGCTTAACACATGTAATGTTTTTTTACAGATTAAATCAGGCATTTGCTCAACTATGTTCATTGCAGCATTTTTCTTCATAGCCAGAACCTGGAAACAACCTAGATGCATCTCAACTGAAGAATGGATAAAGAAAATGTGGTACATATACATAATGAAGCACTACCCAGCAGTAAAAAACAATGACTTCATGAAATTTGCAGATAAATGGATGGGACTAGAAAAATATCATCCTGAGTAAGATAACCCGGACTCAGAAGGACAAACATGGTATGTACTCACTCATAAGTGGATACTAGATGTAAAGCAAAGGATAATCAGACATACAACCCACAGCTCTAGAGAAGTTAGCTAACAAGGAGGACCCTAAGAGGAACACATGTATTGACCTGGAAAGGAGAAATAGGTAAGTTCTCCTGAGTAAACTGGGGGTAAGTGGGGCAATAGAGAGTAGGGGATGGGGAATGAGAACATAAGAGAATAGGATGTTTGAGCTTGAACAGAGGCGAAGTGGGAGAGCAATGAAAGAGATAACTTGACAGAGGGAGAGATCATGGGGACAGGGAAAAACTTGGTGCTAGGGAAGTTCCCAGAAATTCACAAGGATGACCCCAAGTTAGACTATTAGCAATAGTGGAAAGGGTGCCTGAGCTGGCTTACCATGGTAATCAGATTGGTGAATACCCTGACTATCATCAGAGAGCCTTTCTCCTTTAACTGATGGAAACAGATGCATAGATCCATAGCCAAGCACCAGCCCAGCTCCAGGAGTCCAGTCAAAGAGAGGGAAGAGAGATTCTATGAGCAAGGGCCATCAAGATAATGATGGGGAAACCTACAGAGGCAACTGAACCCTGGTGGGAACTCTAGACCAACAGCTGTGGAGCATGCATGGTACTTGACTAGGCCCTATGCATAAGCAAGGCAGTTGTGTAGGTTGGTCTGCTTAAGGGACCCCTGGCAGTAGGATCAGGATCTATCCCTGGTGCATGAGTTGGCATTTTGGAGCCCATTACCCTTACACAGCCTTGATGCAGGGAGAGGGGCTTGGACCTGCCTCAACTGAATGTACCAGGCTTTGCTGACTCCCCAAGGGAGGCCTTACCTTGTTGGAGGAGGAAATTGGGGGTGGATTGGGGAGGAAAAGATTTGGGGAGGGTAGAGGGAGAAGGGAAGAGAGGGGGATCTGTGGTTGGCATATACAATGAATAAAAATTTCTTAATAAAAAAAATTAAAGATATTGCCATTAAAAAGTTAGTAAATTAAATATTTATTAATATAGTTCCTATAATTTAAACGGTTATGTAATAATACAAAAGCAAGAATAAATTATTAATTCAACTACAGCCAAATGTTAAAAACGTTAAATCTCAGTGTATAAATACATTTCCATTTTGTATATGTATGAGTATATACACACATATGCAAAATACAGCCATTACATATTAGTATTCTGAAAGTCGGTATTTACAAATACTTAAAATACAAAAAAAGAATATCAACTTCATAAAAAAAACAAAACCTCTGGCAACACTTATATAAAAAGTCTTTCCTTTGTAAAGCTCTGGGCTTTATACACACATAATGTGGTTAAAGATGTTTGCTTTGGAATCTTACCTTTGCCTCATTTGAGCACTTTTGTTGCTAATAATGATGTGTTCATATTCTCACTTTATGAAAATCAAACTGCTGATGCAAGAATCACAGTGTATATGGAAGCACCTTAAATGTCAAATTTGGTCATTATGTCATAAGAAAGGATATCATTGTGGCAAAGAGAAAGTAGGGGTGCTTCATCCAGGAGGTCCCTAAATCATAAATATTCAAAGTATACTGCAGCCCAGACAAACACTGGCTCATATGTCAACATAATTCACAGACAAAGCAGCCATTTCTCAGGTCTCAGAAATGTTATTAAGCTATCCTTTATATCAAAAATTTGAGGTCTATCTAATTTTTGGGTTTATTCCTCTTAAGTATCTTGATTCAGATGGTGTTTAGCATAACAACATAACTATACCTCTATAGCAAATAATGTGTGTTGCATCAATTGCTTCATAGGAAATGTACTTGCTGTAGAAGGAATCTTAAATTTCTTATCAATAAAATCAAACTTGAGGCCAGTTATTGTGGTGAATGCTGGAAGATCAGAGACGCAGAACAAGCCACAGCTACTTCACCTCGCCAGTTCCTCAGCTGGTCCTGTTTCCTCAGACTGGAAGTCTCTGAGTCCTCATCCAGAATGAATCTCAGCTGAACTGCTGCTCAAAAGCCTGAAAACTTTTCAGTTGAGGTGCATCTAGGTTGTTTCCAGGTTCTGGCTGTTAAGAAAAATGCTGCAATGAAACCAGCCAAATGCTTCTAGTTTCTGGTCTCCACGCCTTATATATCTTCCTATTTTTGCCATCACTCCCTGGGATTAAAGGCTCACTTCTTGGGATTAAAGGTATGTGTCACCATGCTTGGCTGTTTCCAATGTGGCCTTGAACTCACAGAGATGGAGGGATTTCTGTCTCTGGAATGATAGGATTAAAGGTGTGAGTGCCACCATTTTCTAGCCTAGTGGCTGTTCTGTCTCTGACCCCAGATAAGTTTATTAGGGTGCACAAATTTGGGGAACACAATACCACCACCACTTGCAGTAAAAGACAGTGCAAAACTGGCCTGCTTTGGTAATTAAGAACAAAACAACTGATGTAGCTTTTGTAGTGAAGATTTTTATAGCTGTTTTGTTCAGTTCGGATGCATTCATTTTATCCTGGAAATCCAAGGATTTTTGTAAAAAAAAAAAAACTAATTTTATTTAAAATGGCTTATATAACAGATTAAATAACTTACTTATGTTAAAAACATACCAAGCATTTTGTCCAAATATAGATGTGTACCATTTTTACACATAAATATATAAACTTAAGTCATATTCATATGTAAAATTTAATGTAAAAATGTCACCCTTTCATAGGGACAATAACAGGATACAGAAAACATAGAGGCTGGTGGCAATACCTATCTCTTAGAAACCAGGAACTCTCTAATACATTGAACATCAAGTGTTTTCATAGAAGCTTGACCTTTTTAGATCTATGGAGATAGAACCGTAGTGTCCTTAGGATCAAGACTGATGAATAGGAAATAAGATTCTGCTGTTAAATGACCCAAAGAAATGAAGGACACACAGAGAGGAGAATGAGGTATACCAATGCAAACGTGACCCTTGCCCCATTTTTGACCTGCACTAGAACAAGTTTACTAGAGGGCATAACCTGCAGAAGGAGTGGTCTTGCAGCACCAAACAAGTGTTGATAGCTGCTCCCTATCCCTTCCTTTCTTTCAAGACCTCATCTGATGATGCTGATGGAAATCCATTTCTTTCTCAAAAGAATCTCTGAGAATTTGTTTAAACAAGCATTGAATAAAAGCAAACTCATGAGATTTTTACTGAATGTCTTATACCTTAATTAAAAAACAAACAAACAAACAAAAACTCTCCATAAAGATCATTCTAGCTACTAAGTCTACAGAAGGCTCATGGATGAGAGGTTAACTTACACCCTGACCTTTGTGTGGTCTTTCAGTTGTTCCTGAAGGCAATTACAAGTTAATTTTTTTGCATACAAATCCAACATTCATATTCCGTTT